CAGAAGAACGAGTACCTGCTGACGCTGGTGGCGGAGGAGAGCGACGCGCTGCTGCTCGGCCTGCGCTACTCGCCCACGCAGCTGCACCTGCTGTTCCTCCGCGAGGACGCGGCGGGAGCCTGGCAGACACGCGTGTCCTTCCGCAGCGCGGCCCCCACGGACGGCCAGTGGCACACGCTGGTCCTCGCCGTGTCCGGAGCATCCTTCTCGCTCAGCGCGGACTGCGGCATCCCGCTGCACCTGTACGTACCTGGGCCGGGAGGGCTGCCCGCCTCATGTGGCCACGGGCCCAGGGGGTGGGCTGTCACCATGCAGGTCACCATGTGGGTCCGGCTCAGGCTGGCCACGGCAGGGCCAGACATCCCCGCTGTCCTCTGAGGGCCACCGTGGGCCGGGGCGAGGCTTGGGGACCTGGTGCAGCCAGGGCAGGGCATGGGGTATAGGCTGGAGTGGAGGCAGGGCAGAACCCAGAAGGGACGGTGCCACCTGGGGTCCAGGCTGCAAGGCCGTCTGGGCCAGTGGCTAAGAGACCCTCCTGCCCCACGTGGGTAACACACATGCCACGTGCCGTGGTCCGGACTGTAAGTTTCCTGCACACCTGAGACAACACCTGCCACACCGCGAGCTCAGTGGCTTAGAGCCCGGCAGGGGTGACGATGCCAAGCAGGCTGCCGACTGCTAGAAGCAGCCCGGGACCTGGCCGGTGCCGCACTGCACGGTGCCCTCCACTTCACCGATCCACCGCGGGACCCAGGATCATAAAGAACTGGGGAGGAGGGACGAGCTGACACGAGATGAGAAGGTAAATAGGCAAACATTCACAAAACCCAAAGCAGTGTGCAAAATAATCCTTATTCTCGGTGGGCACAACCCAGGGCCTGACTCACTCCCGTCCTTGCTGCGCCTGGTGTCCGCAGCCCCATGGCGGATCCACTGGACCCCCAAGTCTGACCCACCACCCTGCCAGCTGGCAGTCACCACGCCGGACCACCTACCGTTGCCCAGTGGGGCTGGAGATTCATTCTTCGCAATCGCAAATGATTCAGTTCATATTAAATCTGTTATTATCCCAAATGCTACTTCTCAAAGTCAGAATCCTCCTAAGTTGTTATGATGTCTGTTTCGTGATAGAAAGAATCTTAACCTTGATACCCTGAAACACCCGTCACAACCCCTGCCAGCACGGCCCAGAGTACTCAGGGCGCTTACGAGGGCCGTGGGCCCTGCTGTACTGGCTGCCCTTGGGACGCAGGGGCCTTGCGGGGGACGCCGCGCTGCCCACGAGGAACCTGAGCCCACAAGAGCCCCCACCAGCACGAGGAAGGTGGTCTGGCAGGGCGCCAACGTCACTGGCTTCTGGGCTGACCCGAGCATCGAGGAAGGACGACCAGCAGCACCTGCGGCCGCACAGACCTTGGCCTGGCCCTGCCCGTCAGGAGAAAGGAAGCGTTTGGGCCCCCGGGCATGACGATTAGGAGTGTCCCCAATGGTTTCAAGAGTGACTTCTTGGAGAAGACAGAGGGGAGTGAGGCTTTCCGGACAGATTGAACTGTGGCATTGTTTCTCCAGGAGGAGCAGGACGGGGGCAGGGCTGTGGACCCACAGCGGAGGCCTGGCTGGTGGCAGCTCCGCGCCCAGCCCTGCAGGGACAGCCGTGCCTACGTCCTCAGGCTCACTCTGCCCCTTGGCTGGCCAGTCAGACTCGGCCCTGGCACCACCTGAGGCTCCCTGGAAAAATGCGTCTGACAGAGGGTCGGTCGCCACAGCTCTGTGGTGCTGGAGGACGCAGGAGGCCAGGCGGAGGGAGGCAGCAGCCGGGGGCCGGGGCTGATTGTCGCCAAGGAAGGATTTAGGCACACGGGTTTCAGGGGCCCTGCAGGCCGCCACGGAGGGTGTGGGCCAGGGCTTGGGGGCCAGAAGCCTGGAGCCTACCAGAGGCGGAGCTGTGTGTAAAGGACAGGCCTTCTGGGACAGCAGGGCAGGAGCTGACGTCACCATGGCCAACTGCAGCCAGGTGGAAAGCTCCAGAAGGAGCAGTGACATCATGGCCAAGAGGGGAGCCCTGAGGGCACCCTTGTTTTTGACCCAGGGTTCCAGCCACCCCATCCCCTCCCTCGGGTGCCCACCCTACCCCATCTCCAGAGTTCACCCTGCAGTCGCCCATCAAGATCACTCCTCCTCATGGGTCGCCAGTGACCTCCTGCCCTCAAGCCGTCTGTCCACGTCCCCAGGCCGGGTGACGGGCCGGAGCTCAGTGGAGGGGCTGGAGGACCTGTGCAGGTGGAAGGATCTGCAGCTGTGCCCTGCCACGCAGGAGAACAACCAGCATCTCACCACACGCGTTTGCAAAGGACCCTTGTCCTGGGGTGAAGTGCGCCCCCACTGCTGTCCCCCTAGTACCTGAGGATGCAACCTCCCTTGGAAACGGGGTCTCTGCAGATATAATCAAGTCAAGATAAGGTCACACTGGAGCAAGGTGTGCTCTGTTCCGGTACGACTAGCGTCCCTGCAAGGAGACACGGGGAGCAGGCCAAGCAGACAGAGGCAGAGACTGGAGTGACGCAGCCACAAGGAACACCTGAAGCCACCAGAAGCTGCAGGACCCTCCTGTAGAGCCGTCAGAGGACGTGTGGCCCTGCCACTCCTTGCTCTCAGAGTCCTCCAGCGTTGTGAGAGGATAAACTTTTGCTGTTTAAGCCTCCCGTGTGTGGTGCTTTGTCACAACAGCCCCGGGACACCACGCACTTCTCACGAGGGGCTCACTCCCTTGTCTTCCGTAGGTAAACCGGGTACGGCCTTCTCTCCTGCAGCCCTAAAACTCTCCCCCCATGTTTCAGAACGGCTGACGTGCCCTTCCCTGCCACCCTGTCAGTGAGAGGAGCTCGGTTCTTTGTTGGCAGCCGAAGGAGAAGCAAAGGCCTGTTCACAGTAAGTCAGTGCCGGCAGGGTGCAGCTGTCCCCCAGCCTGTCATCTCGATGCTCTAGTGTAACAGTCTCACAGGTGCTAACTGGCCACAAGGGCTGGGTCGCTGCCACCGGGCCTTTGCACTTGCTATTTCCTGCTCCTGGCAGCCTCTTCCCTGACACCCTTGGGCCCTGCCCAAGTGTCCTCTACTTTGACACCTGCCCCACTACTCCGAGATGCTGCTGCACCAGCCCTGGGGCCCCTTCCCCTGTATTGACTTCTCAGTAGCACTGACCACCCTCAGACCAGCCCAGTGTCTGCCTGCACCTATTTCCCCACTCGAGTATGGGGGGGGCCTCATTCCATGAGGGTGTGGCTTTTGCTCCCTGTGCTGCTGTGTCCACCATGGCTGGAACCATGCCTGACACATAGTAGGTGCCCTGTGAGTATTTATTGATGGCATGCTTGGACAGATGGTGGCAGAGGGAGGATCGGTGGATGGATGGATGGACAGATGGATAGATGGTTGATGGACAGATGGATGGATGTATGTACGGATGGATGGACAGGTGGGCAGATGGATGGATGGTTCATGGACAGATGGATGGATGGATGAATAGTCGGGCAGATGGATGGATGGACAGATGGTTGATGGATGGATGGATGGATAGATGGATTGTTGGATGGATGGATGGACAGACAGACAGATGGTTGATGGAAAGATGGATGGATGGATGGACAGATGGATAGATGGTTGATGGACAGATGGATGGATGGATGGACAGATGGATAGATGGACAGACAGATGGGTAGACGGTTGATAGGCAGATGGATGGATGGATGCATAGATGGTGGATGGACTGATGGATGGACAGACAGATGCATAGATGGTTGATGGACTGATGGATGGATGGACAGACAGATGGTTGATAGGCAGATGGATGGATGGATGCATAGATGGTTGATGGATTGATGGATGGACAGACAGATGCATAGATGGTTGATGGACGGATGGATGGATGGATGGATGCACGCACAGATGGGCAGGGGGATGGAGGGAGGGGTGAGCGGGTGAGCAGTGTGGCCAGTCACTTTAAGTTAGCCCACACGAAACTCCCTTCTGTGGATTAATTACCGCAGAAGGTGTACGGTTCTCCACCGATGCGCCCAGGGCCCCCCGTACCCAGCACGTAGACGCTGCTCTCCTGGCTCGGCAGAGGTTCGACTCCATCCACCCCTCCCTCCCGCGCCCTCCTGCAGCCGATCTGAGGAGCTGTCCCTCTCTCTGCAGGGCCTGGTGAGGCAGCTGGTCCTGCTGCCAGGCTCGGACGCCACCCCCAGGCTGTGTCCCAGCAGGAACGCCCAGCTGGCTGTGCTGTCCATCCCACGGGTTCTGCAGGCCCTCCCGGGGAAGCCGGAAGACAACGAGGTGCTGCAGTATCCCTATGGTTAGTCGGCGAGGCCCCTGCCCCACACTGAGGGCAGATGCCGGCACCTCGGCCTCTTGCTGGGCGGCAAACAAGGCTCCCTCTCCTCCTGTCCCGTGCGCGGTGCTGTCGTTCCCCTCGCGGCTGCGCAACGACAGAGGACACTGGGGGCCCAACCAGGGAGGCAGGCAGCGCCATCAGACAGGCCAGCACCATCCACCCTGCCCTCCAAGCGCTCCCGCGGCCGCCATCCCGCCCCGTCCTGGGCCCCGGCAGATGGCAGGCTCTGCTAGCTTTGAAAGCCTCCCTTCCCCTGAGCCTTCTCTGATGTCCACCGCGCCCTGCTTGCCTCCCAGGGCAGCCGGGGGCCGTCCCCACCACAGTCACGCACATGGCAGCCGCCCAGGCGGCCGACCCTGGATGCGCACTTCTGTTTTCCGTGACCCACCAGCCAGAGGCTTGCTTCCTCTCAGGGTGGGGTCGGGGCTGTGTTCGTTTAAACCACACCCCTGCCGTGGAGACTCTGCCCCCCACCCCCGCACCCCCCTGCTCTGCAGCCGCCCTGAAGGAAGGTGAGGTGGGGGACAGCAGAGCCCCCCGAGCCTCGCCATGTGTGGGAACAATGAGGGGAGCCCCCACCTCAAGCACACCGGCCTCACGATGTCACGCACGGTCAGCGCAAGAGGGCCGCTGCAGAGCTGTCCCTTGTGCCCAGACGTGCGCGGGGTCCCTTGCGGGCCGGCGTGCAGAGGCACAGGTGGGGCTGCGCCATCTTCCCACGGGCACTGACCCCGGACACTCGCTTTCCCGTCTCCCCTCAGAAACCGACCTGAAAGTGACGCTGGGGTCCCGGCCGCCATGTACCAAGGTGGAAGACGCCCAGTTCTGGTTTGACGCCAGCAGGAAGGGGCTGTATTTGTGTGTCGGCAACGAGTGGGTCTCCGTGTTAGCAGGTGAGGCGGGGCCCGGGGTCTTGAGGTCTCTGGACACTGGCGCTCCATGACGCCCTGAGCACACGGGCAGCGCTGTCACGTCACGCCTAGGGGCGGGGGTTATGAAGGGCAAATGGCCACGGCCACCTCTAGATGACCACAGGCTTGGTCGTCCGGGGGGGCACTTCTGAGAGTAAGAGGGACCGTGGGTCGTGTCATGACACCTGGGAGCAAGCGGCAGGCAGGACGGCAGCAGCCGGGTCACTGTCCTCCCTGGACCCGAGTGTCTTCCGCCGTGGCCCGTCCTGAGAGCTGGTGCTATGCAGGACAGGACTCGGCCCCTAAGCAGCCATGAGCTTGTGCAGTTTGGAAATGCAAAGCCTCCTGGGCACGACACGGTGGCAGGGGTGGAACTCTCTCAGGACCTCTCCCCAAACCACAGGAAGGGGTCGTGGGCACAGCAGGTGCACAGGGCTCCCGTGACCCTTCCTCTGCCCCCGCCTCCCCGCCCAAGAGAGCAGGGATGAGACGCAAGAATCTGGGAGTGTCCTGTTTCCCAGCACGTCCTTCCCACAGTCCGTCCCCACGCCCGGGAAGGTGAGCACAGGCTGCGGGAGACGCTCCAGCCTGGCGTCCCCAGGGGAACAGGATGGGACGGTTCCAGCTGAGCCCCGCAAGCCGTTGGCTCTGCTGTTTCACTTTATCCAGGGCGCGCTAGTCGCAGAGCAGTGAGCCTCGGGAACGCCGTCGTGAGGCCGGGATGTCTAACTTTCACGCTGTTAGTGTCGTGGGGGCTGCGCAGACCGTGACGCCCCCGCAGACACGGGCGGCTGCCCCGACAGACTGCTCTGGGAGGGCGAAAGGAGGCTCCAGGCAAAGCGCCGTGCTGAAATCCCACGCCCGAGGCTGAGGCTTCCGGGGTCACGGCCCAGGGCCCTGGGGGTCGCGCTCCCAGCGATCGATGCGTCGGGCTTCTGTTCCTGGCGGTGTTAACGCGTCGCACTGTCTGTCCCAGCCAGAGAGAGACTGGACTACGTGCAGCAGCACCAGGACCTGCTCACCAGCTCGGAGACCCTGGGCATCGAGGTGTTCCGCATCCCAGGGGTGGGGCTCTTCGCCGCCACGGCCAATCGGAAGGCCACGTCCGCCATCTACAAGTGGACGGACGGCAAGTTCGCCTCGTTCCAGAGCCTCCGCACACACCAGGCACAGTCCTGGCGACACTTCACCATCGGGAGAAAGGCAAGTCTGCGTGCCGGGACCGCACACCCTCTCTAACTTGAGAAACCCCGAGTCCAGCGGTTGGGGCTCCTCCTGTAGGTCGAATGTTCCTCCTGGTTCCAAGCCCTGGCTCAGGCCGCGAAAGGCTCTCAGAGTCTCAGGCGTCAGCTACGACTCTCCACCCGGAGCGTGGCGCCGAGAGTCTGCACGCTCCTGCCAAGCAGACTGGGTCATTTCCAAGCTGCGGACCCGTTCTGTGTAGACCCCTCCCTAGCAAATTTAAAACCTGCAGATCACGTTTACTCGAGCCAATCAACACTGCAGAAGTCATTTCAGAATAAAAATAGAAGATCTACATTCCAGATCCTTCCTTTGCTCACTTCACAAACACTCAGGACACGCCGTGTGCAGACGGCCGGCCGGGATGGGGCCGGGCCGAGCACGGGGGCGCGGGGCTGGGTCTGAGAGAGGCGTCAGCATTGCCCCGGGGAGGAGCAGATTTTCTCCACAGCCTGGACTCCAGACGGCAGAGTCCTAGAGACGCCTCGTGAACATCTCGTGAACATCCCCTCATCCAAGAAAGGTGCGCGGCTGACGGCCAGGCTCTCGCTCGACGCCAGACGCAATCCCTGCGCTCCTGCTGCCCACAGCCTGCCACGGCCCCTGCTGCGTCCATGTCCAGTGTGGGGAATGAACAACTTTTTTTGGTGGGGGCTATTGTTGACATTTTAAAGTTTTTATTTTATTTTTTATTTTTTTGAAGACAGGGTCTTGCTCTGTTGCCCGGGCTAGAGTGCAGTGGCATCATCCTAGCTCACTGCAGCCTCAAACTCCTGGGCTCAAGTGATCCTCCTGCCTCAGCTTCCTGAGTAGCTCAGAGTACAGGTGCGTGCCACCATGCCCGGCTAATTTTTTTATTATGCTTTTGTTGAGATGGGGTCTTGCTGTGTTGCCCAGGCTGGTCTTGAACTCCTAGGCTCAAGCAATCCTCCTGCCTTGGCCTCCCAAAGTGTTGGGATTATAGGCATGAGCCACCGTGCCTGGCCAGTTTTTATTTTTTCATTATAAAAAAATGCTAACATTACATCAAGGAAAAATTGAGAAATTCAGAAAAACGAGGAAAATATTTGTCTCATCACCTGAGCAAACATGTGGCTCCATTCGGCACACCCGCCCGCGCACATTGCGCGCGAACCAGACACCGCGCTGTCCTGTCGCAACCACACAACTGCCATGGCGGGCCCTGGTCCCGTCACACGGCTGCGCTGTTACGTGGTTCCCACGTTTGGCGCCTTGGCCTGCCTTGGCACGGCAAGGAGAGCAGGTGGTTAAGGGACTTTTTTCTGCGCGTCACGCTGTGAGACCATTTTTGTGCGTAAAGCTTTTCCCGAGTTTGGGGGTTTTTTGTTTTGTGTCGTTTCGTGCCTTTGGATAGTGACAGAGTGGGAGTCATGGGCCGGCGTACACGGCCCTCGTTAAAGGACTCCGCGACCAAATCTGCGGAGCCGCCACCGGCTCCCCGCCCCCGCAGCGGTCGGTGCTGGAGGGTGGGCGCGGCCCGGTTCCCGCGCTGCCGAGACGGAGCAAGGACTTGTGGGGGGACGCTGACGTTCACGCGCACACGCCAGCCCCGGCCCGACCCCAGAGCCAGTCGCCCTGGTCACTGTCTTTCAGGTCTTCCTGGCTGTGGCCAACTTCGAGCCAGACGAGAAGGGTCAGGAGTTCTCTGTCATTTACAAGTGGAGCCCCAGAAAGCTGAAGTTCGCCCCGTACCAGAGGATCGCCACCCACAGCGCCCGCGACTGGGAGGCCTTCGAGGTGCACGGGGAGCACTTCCTGGCGGTGGCCAACCACCGGGAAGGTAGGGCAGGTGCGGCCTTCGACCCGGAAGGAAGCCGCTCCAGGCTGGGCAGGCCCTCGTGCAGGGCGAAGTGTTATCTCCTTACAAACGACCAGTCGCCCCAGCCCGCTTCCGGGGTCTCAGCGACAGTCGTGGGTGAGGGAGACCGCCCGCGGCACGCACCCCTCCCCACCGCCTGTCCGGGGAAGGACGGTGGCGGGTTGTGCCTGCAGGGAGCCGCCCCGGAAACACAGCCCCGAGTCCCGGCACAGACTCTGCCCGCTGGGGTCCCCCGCTCTGTGCGGGAGTCTGGCCCACACCGCGAGGAGGTCAGGCGTCTGAGCAGCCGGCGGGGCAGTCCCGGGATGCTGGCACGGATGGGCGCCAGTGGGCGGAGAGGGACGTGGGTCTGGAGAAGTTGCCGGTGACCTTGTTTCCCGAGAGCGGGCTCAGCACGCCGGCGGGCAGTGGGGTGCGGGCCCAGGAGGGCTGGAAGCCTGGTTCCTGGGTCAGACCACTGCCCCGAGTGGCCACCAGCCAGTCCTTCCCATTCAAGAACCCGGGGGGCTAGACCGGGTCTGAGGTAGTGGCGCCCCCGCACGCGCATTTCTGACTCCGGCCTCCCCAGGCTCCACGGCTCAGCCGTCGCCTGCGTGGACAGCCCCCAGGCCAACACCCAGTGCACCCACGGGAGGGCCCCTGCAGGGCGGGGCCCCGCAGATCACCGTGCGAACAGCGTGTGGGAGGGTCTGACCTGGGGAGAGGGTGAGAGGGAAGGGGACCCGGGAGGGCGGCAGTGTGGCTGGGGACACAGAGGGGTCCCACCTCCACCACGCCAGCAGGCCACAGTGGGGGCGCGGAGCCGTCCGAAGGCGCTGGGAGTGCTGAGAGAGCTCACTCGGGAGTGCGCCATGAAGGCCCAGGGTTGGGGGTGCTGTGGGGGGCTGCGGTGGGGGTGAGAAGGCAGAGGTCAGGGTGGGCAGGGCATGCCCCGGGCGGTGTGCAGGTCACTGGTCTGTGGGGGACTCGGGGCAAGGCTGTTGGGTGGGCTCTGGCTCCTTGGGGTCATGGTGGGGCCCAGGAAGTCTGTGTCCCCTCCCCGACGCAGCCCTGGGTTCCAGGTGACAACCACAACATCGACAGCGTCATCTACAAGTGGAACCCGGCGACCCGCCTCTTCGAGGCCAACCAGACCATCCCCACGTCCGGCGCCTACGACTGGGAGTTCTTCACCGTGGGGCCCTACTCCTTCCTGGCGGTGGCCAACACCTTCAACGGCACGTCCACCCGCGTGCACTCGCGCCTGTACGTCTGGCTGCTGGGCGCCTTCCAGCTCTTCCAGTCGTTCCCGGTAAGGAAGCGCACAGCCCCGTCCTCCGTCCCCCGTCCCCCGTCTGCAGCGAGTGCCAGCTGGGACGGGGGCGCGGGCAGGGGGCACAGCCAGGCAGCGGGCGCGGCTCTGGATTCTCCGTCCCGAGACCAGGGTCCTGTCCCGGTTGGACGGGGCAGGCGCGGCTCCCTCCCAGGCTGGAGGCGCCCGGCTGCCTGCCACAGCCGCTGGTATTCTCCGGGGACAGCCCCGGTGCCCAGGAACAAGGGCAGGGTGCGCTAGCTCTGCCCCTGCCCTGCCCTGGACTTTTCCACACCCAGCAGCTCTGGGCCCCGTGGTGCCCCCGACGAGCTCCGCGGTCTGATCCCAGCTTGGGTGGCTCTGACCTGGGCGGTGTGGGGGCTGGGGCAGCGCTTGCTCCCCTGGCCTAGAGGGACCCCCAGGGCCCAGTCACAGGGGCCCGCAAGACTCTGCGCGGAGGCGGCAGCCTGTTGACCTGGCCTTTGCAGAGGGCAGGACAGTGAACCAGGTGGCCCCAGGCCAGCGTGACAGGGACTGGGAGGGGGACGCAGAGGTGCTGGGCGGGGCGCGGCAGGGCACATCTGCCAGGGGCCAGGCGAGGGCTGCCTCTGCGAGAGCCTGGGTTCCCGGAGGGGACAGCTCAGAGGCCTTTGCCTGGGGGACCCGGGGGACCTGCGAGGGGCTGGGGTGGGAGGTGAGAAGGTGGGGCTCAGGGTGGGCAGGGCATGTCCCAGCACCGTGCGTGTCGCTGGTCTGGGGACCCGGGGCGGCGTTCCCTCTCCGTGTGCTAGAAGTGAGCACCCTCTCAAAATAGAGACGCCGCTGCCCCCACGAGTCTCAGTCCTCCCTGTGTCCTTCTGGAACCTTCTGTGCTCACTGGCCTGGGGCCTCATTGGCTGGCAGGAATGTCCTCAGAGCCCTCTGTGCCCTGGGGCAGGGAGGTGCACCCAGGCCACTCTTGCTGAGTGAGCTGCGCCTGAGAGGCTCGTGCAGGGCAGGGACGCCGCGCCCGGGAGGAGAGAGCGCTGGGGAGGCAGCCACGGAGGCGATGCCCAAACCTCCTGTCAGGGTCTCCAGAAAACGGGACGAGCAGCCAGGGCTCTGCGGAGCCGCCCTGCGAGGCTCTGTGGAGGGGTGGGTGGGGCTCTGTGGCCGGAATGACTTTCTAGAACATTCTACACATGCATCTCATCAGAGCAAGCTGCAGGTTGCACAGGGGGGTGAGTTGCAAAACACAGGGAGGAGGGAGAAGTTCAGACATCGCAGGTTCCTGGAGCACCCTCCATCCTGGCGGAGCGAGCTCGGCTAGGAGACGGTGGGCCTCACCCATCCTCTCCGGCATTCCCAGAACTGCTCCGGCCCCAGCATGCACGGCCGCCGGGAGGCTGGGGGCACAGCAGCACCCGGGACTGCCACCTGCCCTTAGGGTCGCAGGCGGTAGTGGAGGGCCGCAGCATTAGGTGACCTTCAGGACACAGGAGAACAGGTGCCAGGGAAGGCGGAGCCACCACCCAGAGCCAAAGGGTGCCAGGAAAATGTGATGCCACCAGGGCGGGGCCCACAGGGCCGCACTTTAGTGACTTTAAGGATGGGCTAGTGGGCAGGAGAGAGGGGCCCTGAGGAGGCTGCTGCCCACCGGGGAGCAGCAGGTGCCCAGGAGAGGAGGCTGCCGGGCTGGGAGGACATGCTGGGAGCCCTCGAGCGCTGTACGGGAGGGGCGAGCGCGTCCGTGAGCGAGGGAGAGGCAGGGTGACCCCGAGCGCCCGGCACAGGGGTCAGTGGGGTTGGGGCCGCGAGAGTCCCTCCTGATCTGCATGTGTAACAGCCTCGGGAGGTGGCAGGGCCAGCAGGGCCGTTTGCTGAGCGGTGACTCTGCAAAGTGCCGCCGAGAGCTCTGCGCCTTCCTTCCGCCCCTTCCTCACGGCCGCCCTGTGAAGCAGGCGCTGCCACCGGCTCTGTGACACATGAGGACACGTGAGGGAGGGTCGGCAGCCTGCTCGTGGCGCAGCTGGGATTCGGGCCCAGGCGGCACAGCCCGGGGCTTGGCTGGCGAGGCCGGAGTGGCACGCGAGGTCCTCACGTCACCCTCCGTGCACGCCCTCTGGCCGTGATGCCGGCAGACGCTGAGGCTCTGGGAGTGACATGGTGTCTTGGCTGGTAGCAACGCGCCGGTGCGCAGACAGCGATTGGAAAGAGGGTGCGGGCGTGTCCCGCGTGTCTGGCGTGGGTCAGGGGTGAGTGGCAGGCACAGGAGAGGAGGCGGCGGGCAGGATCGCGGGGGCAGCGGCCGCGTCGGGGGCCTGCCGGCCGCGTGGGCAGGAAGGAAGCGTCCAGGGAGCAGGCCCGGCGCCGGGCCAGGAAGGACGGAGGGGCCGGGAGGCGCTCACCTTCTCACATTGTCTCGTTCTCACGCCCCTACGTGCAGAGCCGTGTCGGCCTCCTCCGGGAAGAAGGCGGGTGCGGGGTTGGCGGGATGTGGAAGGGCCGGTCAGGAACGTGTCGCAAAGCTGCGCACTCAGTCTCAGGTCCCCGGGAAGGCAGTGGGTGCTTCTGTGACTTTAACCCGAGGAGGGGAGGCTGTTTGCCAGCGGCGGGATGTCCCGGGTGGCATGATGTCGTCCTGACGTTGAAACCGCGCTCACGGCCGGGGCCTTGGCCCTGTGCAGTGACCCCAGGAAAGCCCGGACGACACTGGCACTGGCGGGGGCTTTCTGGGTCACCAGGACCGAAGCCAGGATCCGTCTGGGGCCTGGCGCGGAGGTGGGACCCATTTCGTCCCCACACTCGCACGGTGGGGCACAGAGAGGCTCGGACAGCCCGGCAGGGGTCGGGGTGCCTCCGGCAGGTCTCCCTGTGGGGACAGTCGCCCACGGCTCCCACCAGGCCAGGTGCAGGCAGGCTAGGGCTCCCAGTGAGCACGGCCCGAAGCCCTGGCCCTGCCCTGTGCTTGGAGCAGGGCTTTCTCCATCCCTGACAACCTCCTTCTGGAACCCTGGGAATTTCCGAGGGCACCTTTCTGGTCTTCCTGCTCGAAAAGCCTTTCAGAGATTTCTGGAAAGTCTGTGGCCACATGAGCCCAGATGGTTAGTGATTCTACCTCAGACCCATTTCCCAGATGCGAAAACTGAGGCTCAGAAGTGCAGGGTCCTGGCCAAGGGCATGGCGGGACGCACAGAGCCAGCTTGTCCCTGGGTGTCCTTGCGTCCACACGAGCGCCTGCTGCCCCCCTGCACCGCAGGGTGGAGCCTGAATTTCCAGAGAGGTGTCCCGTACCCACTGATGCGGCCCCTCCACAGACTGCTGCTCTCCTGAAGCGACATGGGGACGAGCCGCTGAGCTCTGCTGATCTTAGCGTGTTCTGGAAGGCAGTCAGGACACGTGCGTGGGACGCGGTTGCTGGATAAACAGGGCTTCTGTCCTGCGTGACGTCGTTGGAGACGGGCAGCTCCGGTCTGCGCCTGGCCCCGGGCGCAGGTCCTGGACACACTCGGGCGTGCTCAGAAGGGGGCCGCAGCAAAGACGCAAAAAGCGGAGGTCTGGTCTGTGCAGCCCGAGGGGAGCAGGCGCACGGGGCGGGTGATGCCGCCTGAAAGAGACATCCAGAAGATGGGGGCCGGAGCAGAACACGGAGGACAGAGAGCACCGCTGTCACCCACGTCGTGGGAGGACCTGCGGCAGGCCCCGGGCGGGCGGCTGGGACCTCGCACACAGCAGTGGGCTCCCCCGACCTGCGACAGCGGCCGCCTTCTTTCAGTAATTCCCCAGAACCCACAAAAGTCCACTTTCATGTTTTGCCAACATTTTTCATATTGTGTTTAGATCCTTTTAGGGCCTGGGGATGTCTTAATTTGTTTACTGTTTGCTTTGAGTCTTGCAACACCTTCCACGAGCATGAGCTTTGAAGCAGGCAAACCCGAGGTGCTTTGAACACGCGTGTGCGCCGTGGAGAGGCCCTTCTGGAAGGGCCGTGGGGGTGGGGGCAGGCGGCTGCGTGGCTGTGCACACAGACCCCCGTTGCTCCCAGGAGCACTGACCGGGCGCTTCCAGTGGTTCAAAGGACGGGCGGGGGCATGCGGGATTCGGCAGCCGGGGCCGGTGAGAGTGGGTCTGGCCGCCCACTGGGAGGCAGAGCTAGTGCCCTGTTCCTCTGCCCGGCCCCCGAAGCCTCTGCCCACCCCACCAGGAATCTTAGAACCTTCCTCCAGGGGAGAGACCGAGTGGGCCTCCCCAGCTGGGTCCAAGGGAGGATCGAGCTCTGTCCCCGCTGAAACCCAGCCTCCGGGTGCCGGAATCCCTGTGCCTGATGGGGGTGGGGCCCGGGTTCACGGCTGTGAAATGGCCGGTTTCAAATGGATTTTGCTTCTGAGTGAGTTTGCTGCAAACTTCGAAAAGTCTTGCAGCTCTCAAATCTTTGCGGTTGTGTAAGTGTGGCTGAGGGCTTGTGGGGTGGTGACAAGGACAGAAGCAACCGCACGAGCAGGGCCTGCTTGTCACAGCCGTGCCCCCAGTGCCACAGGCTTCCGCAACACACGAACACACACATACACACAAACGCACACGCACACATGCGTGTGCACACTTGCTTTCGTGGCAGCGGCAGGGGTAGAGGGGCCCTGGGCAGAGCCACGGTGGGTGCAGTCTTGGGGACAGGCTGCGGCCAGGTGGTCAGACAGACAGGTGGGAGCCCACCGCCGCTGTGAGACTTGGCTGCACGCGCCTCTGAGTCTCAGTGTCCAGAGCTGTGACATGGGCGTGGCGTGAGAGCATCCCTCGGGGGTTGGAAAGGGCAGGGCGGAGCCTGGGCAGGGGCCCGGCAAAGGCCGCTCTGTGCTCTGTGACTTGGAGCTAGCAGCGGCCCAGACAGCTGGCGAGGTGCCGGGTGTGGAGGGTCTGCTGGGCAGTGCACTGAGCCCTGGGACTGCCCGCCTTCCCCTGCGGGTTCCTCCCACCTCCCGCCCTCCCCCAGGCAGCCCCGACCACAGAGGCACCCTCCTTCCTTG